GGGGTGGTGGGTAGGTGTCATTTTCGTTTTACACATTGACTGAAAATGAGAACTGCATATCTTGTTATATTATTGATCTTTGGTCAGATACTTGACACTTGGGATATTTGCCTCGAGGCTTCGTAAACTGATCTTGACGTGTTGTTTCCCTTTTTTTATCCTGCGGCTGGTCCTGGCGGAGAGGTCAGGAGCCCGCCTCCTAAATGATCTCATTTGCGTCTATGAGGGCGTTTATCAAGAAACTCTTTTTTAAAATGAATAAATAAAGGATAGACACTGTAGCACTCTCGCAGATGTGTAGATGTTTGGGGGTGTGGGTGTGCAAATGTGTAGATGTATGGGTGTGTAGATGTGTATATGTGTAGCTGATGTATATATGTAGGTGTGTGTAGATGTGTAGAGGTGTAGATGTGATTAATGTGTAATATGTAGATGTGTAGATGTTTAGATATGTACATGTGTAGATGTGTATTTCTATAGATGTGTACTTCTATAGATGTGTAGATATGTACATGTGTAGATGTGTACTTTTATAGATGTGTAGATGTATAGATGTGTAGATGTGTAAATGTGTAGATGTATAGATAGATGTGTAAATGTGTACATGTGTAGATATGTACACGTGTACATGTGTAGATATGTATATTGGTAGATGTGCAGATGTGCAGATGTGTAGATGTGTAGATATGTACCTGTGTACATGTGTAGATATGTACAAGTGTAGATATGTTGATGTGTGGGTGTGTACATGTGTACATGTGTAGATGTGTACATGTGTAGATGTGTAGATATGTACGTGTGTAGATATGTACATGTGTTTATCTGTAGATATGTACATGTGTATTATTCCTCTTGTACTTCGGTTGATTTACTTCACATAATTGATACGGGCAACGTTCTAATTTAACAACGTCTCCTTGGTGACATTGTGATGTATTTGTTCGGGGTTCTGTTGAGTTGTTGTCCTTCAAATGATTTTTTTTTACAGACACCCTGAAGGCTGAAGGCCTACCTAGCCTACATCATCCAAACCAAGGTTTAGAAGAAAAAAGAAGTGAGAGGCGGGGGAG